TTACAAATGTTACAAGTAAATTCTTTACACAATTTTGAATTTATGCAAATTTGTCTATGATTAATTTATTTCTCTTACAGGAAGTTATTCGTATTGGTTTTTGAAATTTTTTTTTTTCTTTCTCCAGCTTTTTAAAATAAGAAATAACTATGGAACAATACTCTAATTACGGGGGTCAACAAGATCCTTCATCAGGAAGTTATAGTTCGTATCCATGTAGGTTTAAAGCATTTACGAAATCTAACTTATAGTCGTTTCCTGTGAAAAGTTAAATACAAATTCTAGAAAATAACATCTAGCGTTGTATTTAATGTTTGCCAGTATAATTCCAATAAGGAATAAATTGTAACAATATACTCGAGCGTAGTTTTATTTTATTGTTTGACATCGATGTAATAGCGAGTATGCATTACATACCTTGTCCTCTTTTATAATATCTTGTGAAGTTTTGGTTTATTACCAAAAACTTATGAACTATTTCTAAAGAAAAAAATATATACTTTTTATAGACGGCGATTCCTATAATCAAGGTGGGTATACAACAGCTCCAACCAGCAGCTCTTCAGATTATTATTATGGAAATAATCCTCCGGCAGGAGGTAACAACAGCAGTAGCAGTAGTTCAACTACTCAGCAACAACCTCCAGCAACGACACAAGGTTATGCTTCGCAACGTAATGATAATTATGAAGGGAGTGGCTATTCTTCCGGATATAATAATAGTTACGGAAATTATCCTGCACCGACTACGTCTGGAAGTTATCAAGCAGGTCAAAGTTCATCAGCAGGAAGCTCTACTGCCGCAGCATATAATTCTGGTAGTGGTTCATATGGCGGTAGTAAAACAACAGGATATGCCGATCGTAGTAGTGATTATGGTGATTCCTCTAGTTATGGAGGTAATAAAAATCCATATGGTGATAGTTATAGCTACAAGCCTCGGGAAAATGATGGTAGAGAAGGTGGATATAGTGGTCCGCCATCAAAAGAAGGCGGTTCTTATGATAGTTACGGAAGCCGTTCTGACGGTGGCTATAAGGGTTAGATTTCTTTTTCGATTAATCAAAATTGCTTTTTATTACTTCAAGGTTACGTTTGTCTTCTCATTCTAGTTTACTATTATTATACGGAATAAACATCCGATATAATAGATAATTTTGTGGATGATTCTGTTGTGCAAACAATTAACGACACGGTCTACATTTCGAATCTAAGCAAAGACGTTACTGAAGAGAAATTGGCAGAAAAGTTCGGTAGCCTTGGCATGTTAAAAATAGACAGAAAGACACAAAAGCCAAAAAGTAAGATTTTTAAAAAATCAATATATAAGAGAAATAAATTAATCATAGACAAATTTGCATAAATTCAAAATTGTGTAAAGAATTTACTTGTAACATTTGTAA